TGCCTGGTACCTAGTGAGTTCTTAGTAAATGTTAGCTGCTCTTATGGGCCATATTAAGGATTTTGGTCTTTGTTCTATGAGTAATGGGGTTTGCATTGATTAAGACCCTTTTGGTTGCAAGGAACAGCAACCCAACTCGCATTGGCTTAAGCAACAATAGGGGGATTTCTTGGCTTATATAACTGAAAGACATAGGTTTAGCTGTGCCATGAGGCACAGCTGGGTCAAGGCATAGAACATTGTGAACTGGACTTGAGCTATTTCTTTATCTTTTGTTTTCTCAAAAATAACTTCATTCTCCAGCTTTCTGTCCCCACATGGTGGCAGGGTGGCCATTTAGCTGCCACAGTGAACAAGAGTGCCTCTCTCCTGCTTGTCCCAGAGCCAGTCATGAAGGTCCCTCACTGTCCTGGCTCCCAGCTGGTATCCACCCCTGAACCAATCACTATGGCAGTGGAGGGGTGGTATGCAGTGGGCAAAGAGGAATTGGTGTTGGCTGACTAGTTATATCCCCAAACCTCCAAAATCACTGGACCGAGGCCAGCAGGGGCAGGGGGCTCCACAAAGGAAATCGGAGGGCTGTCACCAAATCAGGGAGAGGAACGCCAAGCAGACAAACACAACCAGTGTTGAGTCAGCCAGCCACTAGAGGTTTTAAGCAAGGGGAGAACAGGTTCTGATGTCCATCTTGAGGTGACCACCCTGGCTGCTGAAAGGGGGGGAGACAGGAGGATGGCGGAATGGAGAGTTGCTGGCAGTTGATGTCAGGAGTCCAGGAGGAAGGGACCATGGCATGGCCGGGCTGGTGGCAGTGGAGCTGAGAGGGATGAGAAAGAGACACAGTGCCAGAGTTTGTTGGTAAACTGGGCAGGAGTGGGACAGTAAAATTCCAGGCTAAGCCAGGGTTTTTTTTGTTTGTTTGTTTTTTGTTTTTGATTTTATTTATCTGACAGAGAGAGACACAGCGAGAGAGGGAACACAAGCAGGGGGAGCGGCAGGCAGAGGGAGAAGCAGGCTTCCCACGGAGCAGGGAGCCCAATGCGGGGCTCGATCCCAGGACCCTGGGACCATGACCTGAGCCGAAGACAGATGCTTAACGACTGAGCCACCCAGGCGCCCCCTAAGCCAGGGTTTTGGCTTGACCAGCTAAGGCAGGTTTGGGGGAAGGTTGACAGTTTAGCTTTGAATGCACCACATTTGAGGAGCCTTGGGGACATCCATGGGGAAGAGTCCTAGAGGCATTTCTTTGGGGTGTGGAATTCCACTTGTGGACATTCTTGTCTGGTTCCTATGAAATATGAGGAGAAATAAATTGAATAATGACTGTTCTGCCCAGTAGAATGCACTAGAACCAAGGGTGGCCTGCCCTCCAGGAGAGTTGAGACAGGAACAACTTGCTGAGCTGTTGGCTGGGCATGGGTCCCTCAAAGAGCATGTGTGTGGCCCAGTCCCTCCCTTAAAAGTCAAAAGACCTTTTGAAATCCTCGGGCAGCTAGGTGGTCAGTCGTGGGCTGGGGCACCCAATTAATACTGGTCAAATGGACAGGGTCCCAACCCACAGGAGCTGACAGCGCAGCTATGGTGAGAGAGGAGAAGCATGGGGTGACATGGAAAATGTCTGGGCAGACAGGCAAAACACAATGCAGGACAGCGGGGTCCAGGCAGCGGAGGCCATGGCGGTTCTGAGGAGAAGGGGGTTGATGCAGGGCTGGCATAATCTGGGGAGGCTTCCTGGAGGCAGAACTGGAGTGGTATCAATATTCCAGGCATAGGAAGACCAGGATCTCAGGTGTGGGATGCAAGGCTAGGTTCGAGGTGTGCCCCAGACCAGCCCAAAACAGCTGGAGATCTAAAAACTTCCTAAACCAGGACACCAGGGCCTCCCAGAGCCTCCCAGACATCCTGAAGTCTTCCAAGTGAGGGCTCAGAGTTCCCCAGCCTTCTACTATCACTTGGGGTAGAACAAGCTGCTCCCCCCACATTGCCCCTCGTCCTTCCCTACTTCTGTGGCGGTCCTCAGTACCCTGTGCCGCAGAGATTTCTCTGTATGTGCCCCTCCCCCAAGGCAGGGAGCTGGCAGGGATCACTGTCAACAGCCAGCATGCTTCCCCGCCACAGGAGGCACTTGGGAGATGTTAGGGAGGGGGCAGCTGGGAGCTGCGAGAGGAGCTACAGGCAGCTGGGAAAGGCCTGGCCTGGTACTTCATGGGTGTGGGGAGGATGTATAGGGTCTGGGGGCTTATCTGCCAGCTTCCCTGTCCAGGTCCTGTGGAAGCAGGGAGTGTGATGGGGCCATCGGCCCAGCCTCAGTGGACCTGGTTGGCCCCAGAGCTGGCAAGCCCCAAGCTAGTGAGTGAGCGGGGGAGTCAGCTTCCCATCCATTAGGCCCATGGCCCAGGCTGCTAATGCCGAGCGGACGTTCTGCTCTCATCCCTGGTATCCACTTAGGCATCGTTAATATTTTACGCCGCAGAGCCAGGGGATCGATGTCTCATTTATAGCTCAGTGTTTATGACCAGTCATTTAAGCTTTCCCAGGGAAGATGCTCAGGAGCACCAGGGGAAACTGAGGCAGGAGAGCATGGGTGGACCAGCCTCAGGAGGACCCTTCATATGGCTTCCTTTGCTTGCTCAGTTCTCTGTCCCCCCATCTATCTCACATCTGGCACCCTGAACATACCCAGCTCCAAGAACACATCATAAGGGGCCATCAGAGCCTGTGACATAGGCCAGCCCTTGTCTCACCTGAACCTTTACAAGCCCTTGGAGATGTTGGCTTGTCATCCCCATTTTAGGAAACAGGCTTAGAGCGGTTAATGTACTCTTAACCAGACCACTGATTGAGGATTGGTGGCAACTAGCTGGGACACAGGCTAGATTTTACTCAGCACATAAGTGTGTAAATTAGAGTACAGGAGGGTCTTGAGCCTTTCTAGACTTAACACTTTAGCGACTCATGTGCTCCAAAAGAGCTGTGCTCTCTGGCGATCATTAGCGTCTCTGCTTAGAACTCTTGGTCAGTGGAAACTCACCGCATGCCCACTAAATGCAATTGAAAGCTGTGCATTTGCAGTTCTTTAAAAACATCTCCAATAACTCAGACTTTTAACCAGTTGTGTTAAATACTGAGGTTGAACTGCACAGGCCAGAAGAAACCCAGCAGCCTCTCTCCCATCCATTTCCACTGGAAACTGTGCAGTATGCTGGGCCAGTATCTGCTCTGGAATCCAGGAGGCCTGGGCTGCACCTGTGCCCCTGCCCCAGTCCACCCTCTAGGTCTCGGTGCGTTTCCTTAATTGTAAAATGGGGACGAGAAATGCCCACTGGGGCAGCCCTTAGGGATTACGAGTAAACCCAAAGGCTTGGCTCCTGTATGCCAGCTCCAGAAGGGCCCTCGTCCACACACGCGGCTGTTTCCTGCCCCACTCGGGCACCCCCGAGCTCTGTGCCTGGGGCGCAGTATATGTTCAGTATTTGTTGAACGAATAACCGAGTGGGTAGCAGAGGCTCATACGTGGAAGCTACTAGCGTTCAGGTCCTAGGTCCAAACAGGCGTGGAGCGGGGCTGGATCTCCCTCTCCACTACGGCGGCAGGAGAACTAAAGAACTTGTTCGAAGCAGCCCGCGCGCTTCCCGCCCTCTAAGCCCGCGGCTGGCGAGTTCACCTGCAGAGCGCAACGCCCGCGGGAGGGCAGCAGAGAGCCACGGCTCCCGCCCTCAAGTCCCGGAGTTCGGGAACTTGAAGGATCCCGGGCTCCGCCCTGCTACGCCCCCTCCCCTCCCCTTCCTTTCTTCCTTTCCTACCCAGTGCCCCCAGGCAGGAAGACAGCGATCCACAAACGAATTAGCGCTCCTGTGCACTGCCCTCGCGTTGCACTTGGCATCCGTTCAGCTCTTTCCCACAGGCAGAAAGGCAGGCGGGCACCAGCACCTCTGTATGGAGGAGGAGTCTGCATGTCCGTGACTCGACCAAGGTCAAGCGGCAAAATCAGGAGTCTCTAATGCTAAAGCCCACACTCCCTCCAAAAGCCTGGAGCGCACGTGGGCTTCCGGAAGTGGATAACTTTGGGTACCAACTTTTTCGTTTTCGGCGGGGGCCAGACCAGGGCCAAGTTCAGTCGCGAGCGGAGACCTGATGGTGTGGGAAATACCCCGGGGCGAGAGGGCTTCCCCGATCCCCCGAAGGCCGGCTCTGCGCTGGCCCGCGGGGCGGTGAGCGGCAGTGGCAGGCTCCGCACCCCTCAGCCAGGAGTCTGGAGCCCGGACTCCTCGCAGAGAGCGATGCTGCGGCTCCCTTCCTCTCCGGTCCCCGGCCCCTTCCCCAGCCACTCAGCCCCCACCCTGCACGGGCAGTTGGGTGAAATCGCCGACCGCGCGGCCTCACTGGGACCCGCGGGGCGGCGGTGGCTGTGCGCCAGGCTCCGTCCGGGGGCTGGGCCGCGCGGGGCGGGGCCACCTCCCTCCGCCCCTTCCCGGGCTTGCGCCGGGGGTGGGGGGGGGCAAGGCCGCAGGGGACGCCTCCCCGGGTGGTCGCCGCGCCTAGGCCAATGAGCGCGCGGGGAGCCGCGATGGAGGCTGGGGCGGCCGGGAGCGCCCGGGACCCCCGCCGCCGCCGCGCCTCCGTGCCCCCGCGCCCGCCGGGCTGGAGAGGGGGCGAAAGAGGCGCGGCGCCCGCACCCGCCATGGAGGCGTCTCTGGCCCGCGCCGGCCGCCCGAGCTGCGCTCCGCGCCACCGCCGCCGCGCCTCGAAGTTTGCCGGCTGACTCGGAAAGTTGCGCTCGGGCTCTGCCGCCGCGCCGCGTCTAACCTGCCGGCCTTCCCAGTTTGCTGCCGCCGCCGCCTTCCGCGGGGCCCGGGCCCCGTCGACACCCGCAGCCCCGCCTGCCGGGGGATGTGAGCCGCGGCCTCCCCTAGAGGCCGGGCGGGCTGCACGGGCCCCGGCGCCTCCCGAGGCACGCGCGGGCGAGGGGCACGCCCCGGCCCCGGGCAGCTCGGGTCGCCATGGGCATCCAGGGCATGGAGCTGTGCGCCATGGCCGTGGTGGTGCTGCTGTTCATCGCCGTCCTCAAGCAGTTCGGCATCCTGGAGCCCATGTCCATGGAAGGTAACGCGTGGCCATCCGCCGCTCCGCCGGGGCCAGCAGTGTGTGGGGAGGGAGCAGCGGTTGCGCTCCCGGGCGCGGGTCCGCGGGCCCGGCGAGTGCGGCCCTCGGGCGCACAGCGCTCAGCGGCGCTGGCCGCCTGAGCCGCCGCCCCCTCCGGACTCCCGAGGGCTGGCCTGGGACCGAGAGGACGGAGAGGCCTGGGGCGCCCCAGAGGGGATGGAGCTGCGGCGCTTGGGGTGGGCGTGAGCGAGATGCCTGGTGACACACTGAGCCGTCTTAGGCCTGCCGGTCCGAGCCGCCCCGGGTGAGCACAGCCGGCTCGGGCCTCCCGTTGGTGGGAGGTGGCTCAGGGTGAAGATGACTGGAAGGATCCTCAGCCTGGGGTACCTGATGGTGGCAAGTGATAAGAGACCTCAGCCACATCATGGGGCAGCCCCTTTCGCCTCGACCAACATCCCTAGACAAGGCTCAGGCCCACGGGATCAGTAACCAAATCCTCGGGCGCCACATTGCTGTCCCAATTAAATATTAACTGAGGAGACTGACCTACTCTTAAATCAGACAGTGGACAGCCTCCCTGGGACCCCTGAGAGGCGCCCTCGGAGCTGCTTCCCAACCTTCTATACCTGCCTAAGACTTCTGGGGCAGGTTAGGAGGAGGAGCCCCTCTAGGGCACACCCATTCTGAAGGGGACCTTGACCTACCGGGGCTGTAACTTCCCCTCCCCCCAGTTCCAAAGAGGCATTTGCAGCCCCATACCTCTGTACTGTGGGGAAGGGGCCGGTGTGTCCTGTTCATGTTACCCGTGCTCCCCTGCTGTCCTCTCAGGGGAGGATGGGCATCCTGCCTGCCTCAGCACTCTGCTGACCTTGCCAGGCTCCAGCTTCTGGGACTGAAACCCAGAGGTCCAGGCAGGCGAGGAGGGAAGGACTTGTCCTTGCCTCTGAACTGCCTGGCAGCCCCTCCAGCCTGAGGATGTGCCCCCCGAACCCCTGCCAAGGGCTACTGAGGACAGGAAGGGGCACAGGGCCTGGAAGCAAGGCCCTTCCTCCATTTTGCCTTCAGAACCTAGAGCTGACTCTTTAGCTGAAGTCCATGGCTATATTCCCCTAAGAAGCCATCAGGCTCCATCACACCTTTTCTAGGTGAGTTCATGGGGCCCAGAGAGAAGAGACGTGATCTAGGTGGTTCTGAGAGGTACCGCCTTAAGCTTTAAATTTTACTCGGAGAGGAAAAGTGCCCAAGCTGGGCCTGCACTTGTCTGGATGCTGACCCCAGCTGGGAATCTATGACTGGGGATTTAGTGGGAAATGCATTTGCTTGGGATGAGGTAAGGGAAAGCATCCTCACCGCTGTGCCCCTGAGGACCTATGGCTCCTGTAGGGCACTTGTCTGTCCCATATACCCTGTCCTTTGCCATCTGGAGTCTGTGGTGGGTGTGGGGGGTGTTTGGTGCTCAGGCAAGCCACGACCCCTACATTGATCTTCCCCGTTTCCTGGACCCTCCTGGGCCACCAAGGGGCCAGGAGCACCAGTGGTCTCATTCCACTTGGTGCTGCAGAACCTTCTGAACTGAGCCCAACCCCCTCACAGGTCTGGGCCTGTGAAATTTGTCTTTGTAATTTCTAAGGAAAAGGGATTTCTTTACAAGGTGGTTAGTATGCACAAGACTACAGATACTTTCTTCAACCTGCTAAAAAGCCCACGTCAGGCTCTAATGAGTTTCTCTTTCCTGGTATGGTTGCCCACTTGTGCCCCCTTTGGAGTTCTGATGTGTTGATGCAGTGGGAGGAATGTAGAGCCTCAGTGTCAGCCGGGTCTTAGCTGGGGGTGCTGTCACCCACACATGCTGGCTGTAAAGCTCCCTTAACCTTTCAGCCTCAGTTCCGTTCCCTGTACAGTGGGCTGTGGCAGACGTGTAACTAGTCACTGGGGCTTTAAGGCTCTAGCACCATTCTTGGCATATAATAAATGTGCAAACTTTGCTAACCGTTGGCATCACCAGTAATTAGCAATGGAGTGATTGCTCGTAGTAACAGGACTGATTCATGGTTGAAAACATTCTCTCACTCAAACAGGCCTCCCCTCCTGCATCAGAGGGAGGGAGTTTTAAGTTCCAGATGTTGCATGATGATGGGGAGTGGTGTCCTTTAAGAGCCTGGAAGGCCCATCGGCCAGGCAGTGTCTACGGGACGGTCAGGTGGGTTGTGAGGAGCCCAGGCCTTGCAGCCCCAGCCTGGACGGGAGCGGGCACTGAGGGAGGAGGGCTGGTGCCCGGCTCCCCTCAAGCATGTGTGCATGCAGTTGTGTGTCTTGTCTTCCCTGAGCCTCCGTAGTTCCCATCTGTGAGTTGCCAGAGTTATGATGGCCCTGGGATTGTCAGGAACTAATGGATCTGGGTTCTAGGGATGCAGCCTTCTAGAAGTAGATGCAGATGATAAAAAGCCCTCTGCCTGCCCTGGGTCTCCTGTCCGTCTCTGCCATTGGGTGACTCTGTCGGGGAATTCCAGCCGGGTTTGGCCACTAGCTTACCAGGTGACTTTGGTGCATTTAACATTCTTGAGCCTTAATTTCCTTATCTGTAAAATGAGGATAAAAGCATATTTTCCCCTATCCATTTCACAGGGGTGTGGTGAACTAAAGCACTGTGGAAAAGTGAAAAGCGGAACTCAAGTCTAAGCGACTCACAGGGTGGGGCACAGCAGTAAAGTGACCCTGGGCCGGTAATTCTTGGTGCTTGTTTGCAAGCCCTGACACCAGACCTTTTTGTCCACATTTGGGCCCAAGGCTTGACTTTGGTCACTGCCTCTTAGCTCAGGTCGGATTTCCTAAATTCTAGATGAGTAGCTCTCAACAGAGGGCAGGTTTGCTTTTCCGTGGACATTTGGTAATGTCTGGGGACATTTTTGACGGCCACAGCTGGGGAGAGAGGGGGTTACTGGCATCTTGCAGGTAGAGGGCAAACATCCAGCCCCCACAAGAAGGAAGGATCAGGACCAAATGTCAGGGAGGTTGAGAAGCCTTGTTCTGGAAGCAGCACTAGGGGCTAGGTGGCCAGGGGCTAGGACAGCTGCCTTTCAGGCCTGACTTAGTCCCTGACATGCTGTCATTAACTTGAGCGAGTCACTTTTCTTACCTGAGCTCTGTTTCCTCATCTGTCATGGGGTTTTGGATTGGAGGCACCATCTCCCCTGGGAACTTTCCCTCACCCCTCTGACTCCCCGCCCCTTTGGGTTGTGTTAGATGATGCTGTTCTGAAATTTTCTGTGTCCCCATCCCCACCCCATATGGGCTTTCTGAGGGGGTCAGGGACTTGTGTCTATACCCTTAGGGCCCCAGAGTGTGCCCAGCACTGCCTGGCAAACAGCAGGTGTTGTGTAAGTGTAAGTTATATGCCATCACCAGCACACATTTATGGGGCACCCTTTGTATGCCAGGCAGTGTGAAGCCACCGGGAGCACAAGTAATGCAGTGTCTTGGCTCTCCCTTTAGGACACCCCTGGGCAGATGTCCTCTGAGGGGAGGACCCCTCTGGCTGGGGTGGGGACAGGGAGGCTGAACTGTGACAGTGGGGGTATATGTGGGTGAAGAGACAGAGGTGTGAAGGGGAGAACGGGGAGTGCCCAGAGGGAGGTATGCACGGCCTGACCCACCACCACCGCTCTTCCCTCTTTGAGGTGGCCCCACCCCTCTTTGTGTGTATCATAATTTTGTCCTCAACAGCAGGCCCATCCTAGAGATGAGGAAGCTGAGGCTTGAGGAGGATAAGTCACTGAACTGAGGTGACCCAGCCAGGGAGTGGCAGAGCCAGGACTTGTACAAACTCTGGCATACCTGTCCTGGATGCGTCCCTAACTCCGCAGGGCCAAGGAGCCACAGATGCGTCCCAGCCTCTTACAGCGTGGCTGTCAGCCACCCAGAGGGGAGGCAGCTGCCTGGGTCCAAATCCACAGTCTCCCTCATTGAGCCCTTGTGAAGACTAAGTGTGTGGCTGGGTGCAAACTCACAAAGCAATGCCCAGCACAGAGCAAGCACTTTATAAGTATTACTGCTTGTTATTTCTTGCCAAAAGGTGCCCTAGCCCCAATCCCCCCCAGTGTCACTCATCACTAACCGTGTCCTAGAAGTTAGTAGGGGGAGGAGGATGCACTTGACGGGCCCTTCACCGTGATCGGTGTCCTTCCTTGTGTGCTCTGTAAGGTCCTCCTGACTGGCTGGCTGGAGGCTCCTGGGCTGGGCTCTGGGAAAGGGAAGGAGAGAGGTGGGGCTCTGGGTGGGTGGCTTCTGCAGGACAGGGAGGTAGTCTGGAGCCTGAGGCCTGATGCTGCTGCACGATGGGAGATTTGGGTAAAGCCCCCTCCCTCCCCAAGTCAGTGCTTCAGCTGTTGCCTATCTAATGGTTTCAAAGCGCCTTAGCCACGGAATCTCAAAGGGAGTCTTACTTAGAAGCCTAGTACCCCCTGACTGACGGAAGAGGCATTGCTGGCATTCGAAGGGGAGTCTTGCCCCACAGTGGTCCCTGGGGCTCCTTGGAGGGACCCCCGGTCTAGGAGTCCCCTGACCAGCAGGGGTGGTCAGGGCTGAGATCTGCCAGCGGGGTAGGAAGGATTGGAGCCAGCTCGTGTGGACAGCACCGTGGGAGAGTTTTGCTGCAAGGGGAACCGAGATGGGTGCTGGCTGGCAAGCCAAGGGGGCGCGAGAGAAGGTTTTGCAGCCGCCTCCAGGGGAGCCTTGCAAAGGTGGAGGCAGCCCAGGGAGCTCCAACGGGCTCAGGCACTAGGTAGGCCAAAAATGCCCCTCACCCAGGACCTGGTGCATCTTTGTTCAGTGAATTAAAGATCTGGAGCCACCTTTTCCAAGCCCCTGCAGGTGGGTCCTGCACAGAGGGTGCTGTGTGGCACGGGGTCAGGATCCTGGACTGGAGCGTCTACTCCCTGGGAGGAGAGCCCCATTGGTGATTTGTCAGGTTGCTGTATAACGTGGGGACATTCGGCTTTAGA